TAAAAGGTCTAGGAAGGATCAAGCCTAAACTATTTAAAATTTGAAAAAATTTAAAATCTTTTTAAGTTGTTTGAGTTCTAAGTCAAGATTCAAAAAAGTTTGATTTTCTTTCGCCCATTGCTTCATTCAGGGTCGTTATTTTTACGTGACGAATGACTCTGCATTAAAAAAATTCCAATTTGGAATGGCTCATGCTAATTGTTCTGAAAGTCAAAGAAAACCAGTAATACAAATGCTTTGGGTAGTTTTTTCGCAAACAGACCTTTTGAGAAACGAAATTCACAGCCTGCGGGAACCAATCCGGAAATTTTAGAATTGCTAAGCGTTTCCTGGCAATTGCCTAAAATGGGTTGGGTTGACAATTGCTCATTTAACCCGCTAAATGATTTTTATGCGTGGTTAATTAACCCGCACTCATAATCGTTTTGAATTCAATTGAGGCAAACCAATTAGTCACAATTATTCGACAAATTTTTTAGCCATTTGTATTGGCATTCCAAAATTTTTTAGTTATATCCATTTTGATCAGCTCTGTGATGCTATAATTTTTCTATATGTAATTTCATTCCAAACAAGATTTTTTCTCCTTTTCTTCTAGAATATAGTATATAATATTTTTACAAGTAACAAAGCAACAAAATTGGGCATTTCTTAGCTTAAAATCAAAAACCGATACTCGTTTTGGAATGCAAGCTTGAAACATTTGCGCAAAACGTGCTTTTCTTTTTTCGAAACTTAAAAATGATTATGCGCTTTATTTACTGACTTAACATAATTATACAAAACTTGCTTATCTATGTTCAAGCGTGCTTATCTATGTTCAAGTTAGAAGTTTGAGTTTGCTTGTGATTACAAAAATTTTATTTTTTATCGTGTTTGTGTTGAAATGTTCTTGTTAGTGAAAAGTAACAAGAACTTTGACATTGTAAGAACAGATCACTGAGTCGACATAATTTTAATTGATGCACTTTGTAATTCATGACGCCATTCTGTCTAGGATGTTTTGTTTTAAGTCATTCAATTTGGACGTTGTCAAATGATTGTTAGTTATGTCCTCAAGTTTGCTTGTTGTAGCATAAGACCAGATTCTATTTAATGAATAAAAACTCTTCAGCAACCAAAAATCTGGGACTTCAAATTTTTTTCTTGGAATTTTAAATTTTTTGGAAAAACTTATGTTATATAGTACTTCAAATAATTTTTATCTCGTGAATTAACGTGAATTATTCTTTCAAATTAAAATCTTTCAGAAAAAATTAGGTTATCGGTCATTTGAAACTTTTACTTTTTATTCAAGAACTCCAATTACTGTAAAATGCGAGTTCTGATAAATATTAGTTCAAGAAATAAACATTTATCAGAAAATACTCAAAACTAGTCGATCAAATAAGTTAAGATTATGATATATTTTTGTAAACTCAGCGTTTTGTTAACTCAACAAGTTTCTAAATGAAATTGGACCACTATCACTTGATGACTATCAGAATATTTTGCAGCAAGGCTATGGATGATAGTTAATTTTTGTTTCGTTAATATCATTTCAAATCTACTGTACAATCAAACAAAGGAAATCAAAAATAGAAGAAACGTTGTTTGAAGTTTTTTTTGTAGTGTAAATGCTTGTTTGGTGGTTTTCACATGTGTTTAAAACCAAATAAGCAAACGCTTATTTTGAATTTCTAAGCAAAAAAAAACTTTGCTTACAAAACTTTTTGTTGCTGAGTGCAAGGGTTCTTATGCTCGTAATGTTTTGAGCAGGGTTGTGCGGACTTACTTACTAGCAAGTAAGTTACTAGTAAATATACTAGTAACTTACTAGTAAGTAAAACAAGACTGCTCGTATCAGGGCGAAGCCCTGAATGTTCCGACTGCCTTTTAACGTTTATGGAGCAGTAATAACATAAAAAAATTCAATGAAATAAAACAAAATGAAAAAAAAAAATCTAAAATTTGAATTTTTTTAAATAAAAATCATCCCCCACACGCCATATAAAGTACAAAAGGATAGATTTCGCTTCTTGTAACAAACCAATTATGGCAAATAGGCTTCTTTTAACCAATTTGGAACGCCTATTAAGATGGATTAACTCTCCGCTTACTCGTTAATAACGCGAAATATATCGCGCGTTAATTGTCCCAAATTAACCAAAATGACAATATTTAAACCACTGTAACTTTACGAAAAATGATCACAGGTGAAATATCTTTTCAAATTTGAGCTCAGGACAACAATAACTTTCGAATGATATAAAAAATCCGTCAAAAAAGGCTAGTTAAAAAGTCGAAATTTGTCTGAAGAAGAAAAACCCACCCCGAGCACAAATATTCCGTTACTTTCGTATCGAAAGTCGAAACAATAAAGCTTATTACTAGTAAGTTGAACCAAAATGAATTTGTTGAAAGAAATGAAGCTCAATTATCAGTCGAAAGAGCAGATAAACTTGTTTTCATATTCTACAACGCTGCTTTACTTGATAATACTGATCAAAATGATTATTTAGGTGATTTTGAGTTTGTGGAAAATGAATGGTCTTCAAACTTGGTAGTTTTCAAGCAGACCCTGAGTTTTTGAAACTTACTAGTAAGTAAAAGTAACTTACTAGTAAAAAAAAGTGGTAACTTACTAGTAACTTACTAGTAAACGAATTTTACTTACTAGTAACTGCACAACCCTAGTTTTAAGTTAAAACTGTTGTCGTTTGGAGGTATAGGCTAGTTAGAGTACAAAGTAGCTGTATTTATGTTTCTTTTGAATTGTTCTTTAGTCAAAAACAAGTTTTAATTCAATTAAATTTTCTTTTTCCTTAGAGCAAGTCAAATTGCGTCATTCGTTTTTGCTTTTTCAGTTTTTTCTTTCTCGCAGTTTTATCATCTTCTGGTTTTTCTCACTCATTCGGTTGTGAATTTAAGAATATATCTCTTCTTTTTTTTCGACGTACACATTCATTTTAGGGATAAAAATAAGAAAAAATTGATCACTTCGATACATCCAGGGTTTTGGAGAATATGCCGTATAGTTAGGTTAAAATTACACAGTTCCACAAAAACTGGCGTAACAATTGACTCATGTGTTGCGGCATGTATTATAATGGTACAGGTATATTTTTTCACACTTCTCCTGTATCTTCTAAAAGATGATTTCTAAAAGTGCTTACGTAGTTTTTGGATGCTCCCGGAAATCATTTGGCCGTTTTAACATCAAATGAAAACATAAATGATATTTTAATGATCGAATTGCTTTGAGCGTTTTTAGCTGAGCCAGGTAAACAACAAAGATTACAGCCAACACTGGTAAAAAATAATTAAATGGAGAAAAAACTAAGTTTAAAACATAACAAAAAGCAATGAGTTCAGAATCCAAGGAAATACAGTGCCAAATAGAATTTTCATTTGAAAATTAGAAATGAATTTGAGTAAAACATTTTCATAAAAATTTCTATGCGTCATAAAAACGCTTGATGGTTTTCGATAACATCTTGGGTTTTCATAAAAAATATATACCACTAACATGTCGCTAGAGAGTTGTGATTTGATTTTTAGTTTCTTTTGAGCAATTTCGTTAAGTTTCTACCCTAAGATGAAAAGTTTCAATACCTTTTATCAATTATTTATGTCCGGGCGGTTTCAAGGATAGTAGCGGATCCTCTCCCCTCTGAGTTTCGAGTCCCTTACTTTAAGATATCCATTTTTGGCCGAAAAATCCAGACATTTTTCTAAGGAAGCTTATGGCGCCAATATATACTAAATTTGAAGGGGGGAAAAAGCGTCAAAAAAGCGCGAATTTTTGGTCAAATTTTTCCAAAAAAAACAGATGTTTTTTCAATCATTTGACTGCAGCGCAAAAAAGTTTGTCAAAATAGAGTTTTTATAGTGCTATCGGAGCGCGCGGACAATCATTTTTTTTGATCGGACGAAAATTAATCGGTCGATCTAAAAAAGGACTTTGGTCGATCTAAAAAAGGACATTTTTTAAAAATTCACTCAACCGCTTGAAAAATTTTTAGATCCGCCGCATTTAATTAGTTGCAGAAACTTTCATAGACTTCGCGAAAATGTTCAAAGGTTTTTCAAGTTCCAAATAAGGTTTTTTATTTTAAAATTGGTCCGACAGGTTACTAGTTACAAAAAACTTAACCAAATCGTTCAAAAAATTTGCCCGTTGTTCAGTTTAAACCGGATTGTCGAAATTGCAGCAGAATGTGCCTGAGAGAATAGTCAACTAGGTCAACTGTCAATCTTCACCAAATGAATTGTAGTAAAATTTTTTCATTAAAAATTTTAAGATGTGATTTATTGATTTGCTTCAGTTGCTGAAGTCATATGATGATGAGTGTTTTGAATGTCACAAGTTGAATGTAATAACTATTGTTCTCGCACAACATCAAAGTTTGTTAATAACGGTTCTTTTTACCCCATCAAGAATCGGCTCTTTGATGTCGTCCCTCAAAGTGGGTTGAATGTAATCTAAAATCATTTCTGATCAAATCTGGCTATAGACTGCCCCATTTCTTGTTCATATCTGTGGTATAGACATAGCCGGTCTGATTGAAATGTCTAAATTTTCTGCATATCTTAACATGCATAGCTGGTTTATGGTTGTCTGATGAATGGCTATGGTTAAAAAAGATAAGCTATAAAACATGTAAAACGTATTTCAGCGAAAATATTTTCAGTGGCCATGTCTGCTTTAAGTTAACCTCAAAAATGGGTTAGTTTTTGGACACTTCGGCTTGGTGTTATTTATGAACAACGACATACTTTGAAAAAAGCTAGACTTAGTTCGCATGGTCGCAGTTTAAAAGCAATATGGATCATAATGTTATCTTACTGCTTTTGAGATTTTGAGCTTTTTCTCCGCTATTAAAATGACACTTTCTGATTTGGTATAAAATTTAACTGTATCAGTGCACGAGTAGTTTGTTTAAAGATGAAAATACGTTTTAATCAATGTTTAACCAGAAGTTTAAAACATACAAGAAACTGATTTACGTTCTGGCGTACAAAAATGGTTTGATCAGATTTGAAGTTAATATATGACATTTTTTCACAAAATGGTTTGTTGTACTTTCAAAATTGTTGTACTCATGCTGACAATTGTAACAAAAATAACTTTTCTTTTTTCTCTCTGAAAAACGGTGCAGCTTAAAGATACAATTTTAACAACTAAAACCAAATTATTCTGAAACCCAATTTGCATATTGAACAGCTATCCGAATCGAATCAGAACTTACATATCTTTGGTAACAATTCAGCGACAACACAAAAGTCATCATGAGTTTTAGTAAATTTGCTGGTTCCGCGATTGAACAGAACGCGGGTAGAATACGTGACATTGACAAATGGGACCCAACGGATAAAGAGAGGAAGTGGCTTCTAATATCAGGTGCAAGTGAGCCTCCTAATTATATCCAGCTGTCCGAAATCGGGGAGCGTGAGACGAGAGGAGAAAGGCGGGACTTATTTCTCAAAGGTCAAAGTGTGGATTTCGTGAACATGGAGAGAGCTGTTGGTCATCATCTCTACAACAGAGTGCAAAATCTGCACATGAGAAAAGAAGATGTGAAATCAAGCGTTCAAAAGTTTTTCCAGCATTGCAAAGAGAAAAAATACAAGCCAATGCTATATTACACTGGCCATGGGGAGATGCCAACTGGAAACTGGTGTCTGGCAGACGGTACAGTTGGAATAGAAGAGATCTTCGATTGGATCCCAACTGGCATGGAACCCCCAACTATCTGCACAGACTCTTGTTTCGGAGGTGTGTGGGCTGATTTCTGCATTAGAAAGAATATCCCAGGATTTCACTGCCTCTCTGCGACGGAGGCTGACCAGGCTGCTTATGATCACACTGGTAAATTATACTCGACCGTTGAACCATATATGCTGGTGTCAAATTGTAAAATCAAATACAGCTTAACGTCAAAGCGACTACCTAATTACAACTATAGCAATGGAAAGCGATATAATATTAAGGAATGAAAATCATTCTCAAATTCAATTCAAATTCAAGTTCACCTGCTCCTTTAGTGTTTCGGTACAAAATTGTTTCGGATGATATTTTTAGACTAAACAACTTCTAATAAGTCTTTTGTCATTAAATAAGTTTTTTATCCTCATGACTATACGCGCTTTACATTTTGCATTCAATTTTGGTATTTTGCCAAAGTATTTAAAAGTCTTTGCGAGCCCTTTGTTTACCTATATTTAAAAGACAGCGCAAAACTTGTCCTTGGTGATTGAGGTCAAAACCATGATATGGTCATTTACTCACTTGTGAAGCCGTCACCTAACGTTACTTTTATTGGAAAAAACAGGCGATTTCTGAGACTAATCAATTTATTTGTGTTTAGATGGAGGAGGTGAACTGACACACTACATGACGGGTAATGAGAGTAAACCTGAAGATCAGCGACCTTCTACTGAGCCAATGTTCAGCAGAGGAAACTACGCTGAATTCCCTACACTTGTAAAATACTGCAAAACTAATTACGTAGACTTCATCAGATTTCATACGTACAATAACCAACAGACTTTGATATCACAGAGTGTACATGATAACAACATGTTCGCTATATTCGGTCATCACAAAAAGTACAACACAAGGAAGAAGCAGTTTTGGGTTAGCTCCTCGTTCAAAGAAGTAAAGGAACAAGTAAAAATTCACAGCAAGGCAGGCATGAATATTTTCTCACTTGCAGCTGATCAAGAAACGGGAAAGTTTTACGTTTATATGATGGAAGATTTTTGCAAGGCTCAGTCCATTATGCAAACTGAAGATCCCGAAGATCTTTTTTTGTCTGGTCTGTCTGTGACTAGTGTCACTTGCCTCAATAAAAAATACATTTTCGTAGTAACTGCCGGTGCGAGCCAATATGAGAATAAAGAACAAGTGATATTCACAAAGAGCAACAGGTCGGATCTAGATACTGAAATTAAAAAGCAGAGGTCAGAAGGAAAAGTGATTACCTCTTTTTGTATTAATCACGAGTTGAGTGAGTACCTGGTAGTGATGACTGAGATGGAAGGGTGCGAGCAGGCGAGTGGATGGTTCAATATTAGAATTAATGATGGAAGCAGGGAGCGTAACAAATGGGCAGAGCCTCATGTGAGAAGAAATCTATTGTACGCAATAGCGTGTGAGGATTTTTCAGATCATCAAACCTTCTATATTATGACTTCGGATGAGGATAGAAATGGATCTCTACTCAGAGGTACATCCTTCTTCAGCTGAGTGTTACATCAACATGACCTTCTTCTGACGAGTATAATTTATCTTAATCAATTTCTTAATTGATATTTATTTTGACCCAAAGCTATTATACCAACTATTTGTTTCAGTGAGTTAACTGCTTCACATCTTGTGCACCACAATACAACAGTGAACTTTAAAATCGATCGTTTCAATGCTGGAACAATTTTTGCTGTAAATAATTGTTGAAATAAAAACTGCTTTCAATTTGGAAAAAAGTGCTTTGTGCAGATATTGCGATTACTGAGTTTTTAAACAAAAGCAGAAGATATAGCAAAATTATTATCCGTTATTTTTAACACCCTTTATTAGAAGTATAGATTAGTTTCATTAAATCAATATTTTTATCCTAACATTTTTTCAGACAAGCAGTTTGCATTAACTATATAACTAATTTCTCAAATCAATCAGAGCTTGATTTAATCCTATACAATTAGTGAAAAATAAAATTATGCTTAAGCACGCATTTGTAAAAAGATTCAAACCCAATCAAGCGAAAACTTGCTTTAGCCGATACTTATTTTCTCTATAAAAATATTAGTATTTGGTTGATGTTTTTGATTGATCAGCAAAAAACTGTGCCTTGAAATTCAAATCCATTAAAACATGTTTTTAGCTGATCAAATTACCTAAATTTTTTTATAACTTCAGAACGCTCATTAAAATTTAGATAACCAAGATGCACATTAAGTTTAACGCTCACCATTATATTTGAAATTTTGATAAATCTGAAATCATTAACATAGTGCTATTTTGATCTAATTCAAATTTCACCTCAGAAACTTTTTTGATGACGTATTTTATGATCACAATTTCGTTCATAGGATTTTGCAC